TTATTATGCACACTGTAATGAAAACGTCAACAAATATATTGATCCTGGCTTAACCAGCGACCCTTACTCTTTTGTTCATAAGCTCGGTTTCAGAAAACTTGTCAGTAGTTTAACAACTATTAGAATTGTAGTAATGTCTATGGAGACCAATTGGTTGATACGAGAAATCATTTGAAGCAGTTTAATAAAGAATGTTAAACTATATTTAAAACTGTAATTAAAACTTCAACTTATATTAATTATCTGATTCCAGTGGCCAGTTGGAACAGATAATCAACAAAGTTTCCATTTTGCAGCAACAGCGCAAAAGGTTTCAACAATAATTTGTATTATGTCTGAGTCTAGTTCTGTCTTATCAGCTTTGTTTCGGAATGTGTTCAATACATTACGTTTTTTTCATTATTACCATACAATACATAGATTTAAGAATAAATGAAACAAATAATACAACATTGACCTAAAACAGCAGACAGATTTTGCAACCCTGACCTCAGGCAGGTTTTTACGACCAGCAGTGATGCCTCTGAGGGTCTCGGGGTGCAGGACGGGGCATAGGGTTTATAAAAGGTCACAAACATATCTTAACATAATAACAGCAATACAATTTAAAATGTATTCTTAAAGTAATATAATCTTATTTTCTTCTTACACCTACAGCGCACACCCTGAACAGTGTGCTTCGTGTTTACATTTTCCTCTGCACACTCAGATGCAGGACATAAAAACACTCTTTTGCTATTTATTTTCATTTTGCAGCACATCTATACTACCAGAATTTTCCTTTACATCTATATATTATTTATTTTTCTCAAGTCATTTACTTTTGGTGAGTTAACTAAAGCTTAGTTTATTTTACCCTGGCTGTGGACTGATTAATTATTAGTTGTTACAAAACATACACAAGACGGCGGTTAGACAAACCAATATAGACCCCCGATACAAACAATCAGACAAACAAACATGAACTCGTAATAAACACCAGCGTGACAGCAAAGTTCATCCAGCTCAATTTAGTCCGAATTAAAGAGGTTTCAGAGGGGGTAGGGAATTATCTCTCAGTGGGGCGCCTTGACTTGTGCGTCCACCCTTGTATACAAGTCCTAGATCGGTGCCTGAAGACCGTCCAAGAGCGATAACTAGCTTATCCTCTTGCGACCCCACTACTCTATTCTAGTGGCGCTATGCCCCCCCGATCAGGAGCGCATAGACTTTTTCCGCTACCCTTTCTATCCAAAACTGCACAGTTAACTGTAGTCCTACACGACCAGCCTATACACATGCCATCGTGTTCATCACAACGATGAAACACAGTTTTGTTCTACACTTGCATGCCACTGCCCACCCGTGATCAATTAGCCTATAATTTTATGTATGCACCCCGGACCGGCACCAGTTCCTCCAGCAATGTAGGGAGCTGTGGCGCATCAGGTAATGCACGCACCTCGCACTTGCCAGCACGTCGAAAACGGCCACAAGCCACGAGAGTGCTTTTAAACCATCTCGTTTTTAATAGAGACGGCGGTGGTGTGAGTTAAAGCTATAGACAAAAGCTGTGACTTTCTCCCTCTTAGTGCACTTCACCAGCCACGCAGATACGGGGAGGTATTTTACAGACACCCCCCGGAGCCGCAGCTGGAGCCGTGTTTTTTTTAGAGGCGATAGGGGTAATATCTCTGGCTGCTTATGTTAACTGCTAGTGTTGGCCGCTGAAACCCCCAGAAACTCGGCGATTTGTTCACTACAAATCTCTATTTTGCTTTCACACAGAAGTTCCTCTTTACTGATGCCCTCATTAAGGTCTCTTTAAACACATCTGTGTATGCTTGTACACACAGAGGAAATCAGCCAGGACAGAGTCCCCAGACACTGATCCCCTGGGGTTACTAGCCCCAAATGTTCATTAACCAAAACGAAACACAGCCGCTCAGCTTCACAGATAATTTTAGGATACCGTCAATCACAGATTCTGGTAAGGCAATGTCCAAATATAGATTTGAAATTACACTTACCAGTTCTGAAGATTTGTTGGTATCCTGCCGACAACGCCAATTTGTGGGGGAAACTTCTGTGTAGCAATGCAGTGGGAGTCACCGACTCAGGAAGGAGACACGGTGAGAGCTGGAGCTTTTGATGTCAAACACTGATGGGTTTATTCAGAGTATTCGGCCGGAGGATTCACATCACAAGTCAAAGAGTCAGAGGTTCTGACTTCACGGTAGAGTTGCCACGTCAATTCTGAAGAGCCTCTCTCTATGCTAGACCGGTTCACAGAGAGTAATCAACATCTCTGAAGGAGTAGACTAAACAGCTGGGAACACTGAACCACCTGCGTCCGACACTCATGGCCTCAAAGATTTCACATCTTAGAGTCCACAAACACCGATAAAGAAGTGCCTCAGTGTTCTCACAACAATTACCATTCGTGCCAGACAAGTTGACCGGTCACAAACTGTTGACAACAACACATATGGCACCAATGCCTTTCCTTAAAGGAGATAACAGACGTCAGAGTAGATCATAAAACGTCACAGAGCAAAAGGTTAGATATCTAGAAGAATTATTCCTTAACACATAGTAATGGTGTTAAGGGAATTTAATGATTAGAAAACACTTTCCTATGGTTTCAGTAAACACTGCTGATACACATGGAAATTAAATAAAGATTTAAAAACCTATTAATGTGTCATACCCACTTAACGGGAAGAAACTCAGCTATCAGACAATATTAACCATTTTTAGCAAAACGAAACATAAGGGTAATAACAAAGGCTCTGAATTAGCCCTGAGCGAAAAAATGCTAACACACTTAGCACAGAACTCACGTTAAAATACCCTTATTACTTATCGTATCTGCACAAACAAGATATTGATTAGCAAGCTGAGATTCCACAGATTCGACAGGTATTGGTATCATTACTGACCGATCCGAACTCGCGACATGAGAAGCTAACAAAGACATCACACCACGTAGCATTAGGTAGCCAACACGGCAATATGTCTTACCTTTGTTGTTTTCTGATCAAAGGTTGTCTTCATTGGCATTAAAACGATAAAAAAACGCTGTTGAAGGTTAATCCATAGGTTAATCCAATGTGTCTGTGTCACTTTGAAATGATTTCTGATAATCCATCAGCAATAAATCTAGTTTTCAGTTTTCAGATTTCAGAGCGTAAGATAGGTTTCGCTTTGGGCAAACTGCGTGCGCATAGCTCTCATTTCTCAATGGTAACGTGTGTGTGTGTATGTGGAAATCCCCCTTCGATTCTATTGGCTCTAACGGTTCATAAGAGATGTCAATCATCAAAATCGACCAATGGGTTACAGAGAAACGGCAAATAAACCCATTTCCACCCAAATTACCCCAGAGGTGGTTTTTTTTTTGCTAAACCTCTCTAAAAAGGTCAAATGTCACTTGTTTTGCATCAATCTTGATACAGGGTACTTATTATATGTTATAGTTTGGATTCCTAAAGCTTTTAGTCTACTATCCCATCATTCAAGGGTGGTTTTCACTATAACTAATGGTTTATTTTTGGACGGACACTATAATTTAAATTTTTTTACTATGTTCAATCGTTCAATCTGAATTTACTTTAAAGTGGACCTATCATGCTATATTTAAATGATGTATTGTAGGGCCATACCTATATAAGGTATATTTATACGTTTCTGTTTTCAAAATACCAAACAGATCATGATTTTAAGCCATGCCTCATTTCGCTCTATTTGTTGTTCTCCAGCACTGTTTTTGCAGGGGGCTGATTCTGTGAGCTGCAGCTGACCACGCCCCCCTGCAGGAGAGGGGAGCGCGCTCTGAACAGCTGCTGGGCTGTCAGAAGAGGGGGAGAAAAATAGATCTCCGTCTTCCGTGTTTTATTATAGCCTATTATTATATAGAGTCGTTATTAATTTGTTTTAAAGCAAAGAACAAAGAAGACCTTTGACCGGCACTTTTCAAATTTTGTCCGGAAGATTTAAACTTCAACGGACATCTTGACCGGCGAAAGAAACTGAAACTGAAACTCTGCCGCACGATCCCCTCGTTCCTTGGAAGAGGCGGAGAGGTGGGTGTTTGTCATCTGCTGGTGGACTAACCGGAGAGAATTACAGTGCTTGCCTCGACGGGGAGGGATTGCATTGAATTAAAGCAGCGGGAGCAAACGTTTGCCTCGGGGAGGGAGAAAAAAAGCCACAGCGGAGAATAAACAGAAGGGTAACCATGGTAACTATGCGCGGGAAGTCTTCTTGGCTGCTTTTGTGGCAGACGACAGCGCCACTTACAGGCCTGGCATATGTACTACAGCATCTCCAGCGCTTTCGAGCGGCAATGGCCGGCCGTGGCCCAACCCCACATTCCCCTGATAGGTGGAGAGTTGGCCCAATAGCCGTAGCGCCACCGTCCTGACGTCAGGACAGTGTTCAAATCTGGATCAGTTTTTATCAGATCCGTTGCAGCCCCTTTTTTAGAGATTTGGGTATGGAGGAAAATAGAGAGGGTTGTGTTTTCTGACACTTGGTGAGTTCCCTGGAACACCGGGGACACATATTCATGTATAAAAGACGTACAAAAGTGCATTTTGCATGATAGGTCCCCTTTAAAATAAAAAAAATCTATATTGATTCTGACTTTTCTACATACAACTCACAGGTTTATCATTGCTTTGAGAAAAAAGATTATTAATTTACCCCTTTTAGAAGGGAAGTTATTGTCATTTGTTCTGGGAATGTCATTTTCGAGACTGAGACCTGAACAACAGGCTTGGGGCTTAACAGGTTAAGACATTGCACATGTGTATTCCATGTTGTCCAAAAAGTGTATTTTCTTTAACAGAGTTGGATATGAAAATCCAAAGCATAATAGTGACATATTTTGGATATGGGCCTGAATAGTCACGGAAATGTGGTTTCAATGTTTAAAAAAAAAGGTTTGTTAAATGTTTATTCAAATTAATAAGCATGAGAAAATGGAAATTAAACAAATATTGCTCTTTGTGTTTTAGGTCCTGGACTTCCACCACCCTCACCAGCTGAGGGAGGGGCTGGACGGCTTCAGCCTGGAGCTGCCCGACCAACCAGAGAATCTGGAGCAGATCCTGGTGGACTGTAGAGACACTCTCAAGTATGGAGTCCGTACAGGTGTGTGTGTGTGTGTGTGTGTGTGTGTGTGTGTGTGTGTGTGTGTGTGTGTGTGTGTGTGTGTGTGTGTGTGTGTGTGTGTGTGTGTGTGTGTGTGTGTGTGTGTGTGTGTGTGGGTGTGTGTGTGTGTGTGTGTGTGTGTGTGTCAGTGTGGAGATGATGGGCCACCCGGAGCTGGCTTCAGAGTGTGACATCAACGCTCTGGAAGCTCTGCTGCCTCAGGAGTGTGTGTGTGTGTGTGTGTGTGTGTGTGTGTGTGTGTGTGTGTGTGTGTGTGTGTGTGTGTGTGTGTGTGTGTGTGTGTGTGTGTGTGTGTGTGTGTGTGTGTGTGTGTGTGTGTGTGTGTGTGTGTGTGTGTGTGTGTGTGTGTGTGTGTGTGTGTGTGTGTGTGTGTGTGTGTGTGTTTGAAAGGTTGGTTCCTCACAAGTATTGATCAGCTCTTGGTCCCCAATGCAAATAAAAGAGAGTATGTGTGTGCGCACATCATAACATCATACACATGAATATCGTACAAACAGATATGGAACAAATGTAATGTTTTCTTAACCTTGTTATAGTTTCATTTCGTTTTTTTTTTTAAACAGTCTGAATGAAACGGCAGCTCTCAGGTGATCATATATCATCAGCTGTGTGTTTACACACCTAATGGCCCATCAGCCACAGCTCTCTCCCCCCCCCCCGGATCTTTCTTCTCCAGCAGTTAAGTTAACTGTAGGTTACTCTGAGTGACAAGCTTACAGTTAGTGAAGTAACACTTTTTTTTTGTGAGTCACGACCTGGCTGTTTCATTCTAACATAACGCTCCAAATATTACTGTTTCCACTCAGACTTCAATACAGCTACACCATTGTTTGGTTTCCATGGTAACGCATCTCTTTAGTACAACTCTACCCTCTGCTCACTCCTTTCCTGTAAATTAAACTATACAGGTCCAGCCCACACATATGACAGCGCAGTTGCTCCATCATTCCATCTCTTCTTTTTTCCTGCTCAATACGCTCCTTGGCCCGGGACACACATATTTATTTAGATATGTTTTAAACAAGTTTAAATAAAATATGCATAGTAATTTAATAAATCCTTCCAACACACATTGTAAGAACAGTTCTGTTTCATATGAGTGTTGAGAGCTGTATCCATAAATCTCTTAATTTTGCCCTCAAAGTGCACCAGATTGATGCATTTAACTTCAATTTAAAGAAAAACATCTTCTGTTGTAACAACAATAACATTATAAATAGTAACATAGCTGAACATGGTATTGCACATTTAGCTTTCAGTGTTACTGACCTGAGATGTTTTTATTACATGAATTAAGGTGACTGAGGCTTTTTAACATAGACTTTTCAGTGTCCCATATTTTGCACAGAACTATCCCACATTAGGAAGTGCAGATTGTCTGAGACAACTTGGCACTAATGCGGCTTTCACACCAGCGCTTTTCCCTTTCTAGCTCCTAGCTAGAGCTTTTCTGGTTCAGCTCCGGTTTCCCTTTTGAGCTCCCGCTCTGTTCACACCGCCCAGCTGCCGCTGCTGCGTCATAACGTCACCGTTTACATCGCTGATTTTCTCCCCAACGGCGCTCACAACAACAACAACGGGGGGGGGGGACTGTGTCGGGTCGATGATCGTGTTGCTTTTAATCATACGAAGCCAGATTAAATTAAATAACGACTTCTCCAACCTTATACTTTTCTCCAGAGTGCCGTGGTTCATTGTTTATTAATGTGTTTCAGCTGCATTTAGCGACCGCTGCAGTGCTGGCTGCTCTTCCACGGGAGTTTATTCTCCCGTTAGCTCCGGGTTAGCTCACACGGCTCTAAAGTATTCACTGTCTGACTGTCACACAAGCAGCTGATACATATCCCCAGTTCCCCTTAAGTGAATGTGTGTCAGTCTGAATTGACGCTGTTTGGCATCACAACGCTGTTATGAAAGTTTCTCTGGTATAACATGGGTGATGTTAGCATAGCAGCCGAAGCTAAACTGACTACTTGCTAAGCCGTTTTCTACAGGCACATTTTACCGGCGTATTTTTCATTATGATTCTACTTGTGATAGTCGGACATGACAACCTGTGCAGCCCATGTATTGATTCCATCCGATAGCTGCTATAATAACAAACAAAACGTCTGCCTGCTCTCCACAATGATCAATAACAGCGAACGGATGGTCAAAGTAAGGTACAAATAAACAGAATCACACGAAGCCTGGTTAGTGTTGCCTGACTTTATAAAGTGTTTTTTTTTATAAGTGTGTGGTTGCCTTCTAGTCACTTTGCTCAGCGCTACTGCTTGTAGGCAGGCATGACGAGACTCTTCAGTCGACCCATGTTCAGGGGAGGTGGGTTTAGTTTCCTGCACGCCTCGACGTAAGCGACGCCGCGTCATAGCTCCGAAGCTCTTGCCTCTAGACCGACAATTTTTTGGAGCTGGAAGTGAACCGCATTCCGGAGTTATGACGCGGCGCCGCTGCGGTGTGAACAGAAAAAAACGGCGCTTTTCCAGCTCCAGCTCCGAGCCGGAGTGTGAAAAGGGCATAAGAGTACTGATATGTCTACCATTTCTTTTCCGAGTGTAATATCTGCATTTTCTCTTTTGAAAAACTAAGGCCCCGCTCACACGGGACCGTTTGCGTTTATGCACAGTATGCGTATTCAAAAAAGTCTTCCGTTCACATGCATTAGTTTCATTTAACGTGTCTGTTCAAACGAGGCCGCTGGAAACGCTGTAGTACATATTAGTGATGTGTCGGTCGCGAACGAGCCGGCTCAAAGAGCCGGCTCTTTTAAGTGAACGACGGGAGCCGGCTCGCGCCCGCGAACGAGCCGTTTTTTTTTGTTATTTTGTTGTTAAGTAATACAAGACAGAATGATATGATGATCTCCGCGCTACAGCTGCTCCGTGCATGCATGCAGTGACATGTAATATCCAAGGATTAGAGACTGTTGGATGCTGCTGTACTGAGCATTGCAATATATTTATTTTCACTATGTCATTTATTTATGATTATCCTTGGGCTCAGCAAAGATTTGATGTCAGCTGTTGCTGTCTTTTTTTCTATAGTTAATACTGAAATAGAGCCCTGCTGTTTAGTCAGGGCCTTTTCTTTAAATATAATTTTAAAATGTCGATACAGTAGCCCCTTTATTTAAATGTCTATGCTTAAGTTTTTATCTCAATCTCAATCTTTATTTATTTATATAGCACATTTAAAACAACCTTCAGTTGACCAAAGTGCTGTACAGGCAATACATATTAAATAACACAATGGGAGTACAATAATAAAACAATAATTAAAAACATGATAAAAAGCACAATAACTAGAAAAATATTTAAAAAAAACACATACAAATGTAAAAATGTAATGTTCAACTAGTATTAAAAGCCAGTGCAAAGAGGTGAGTTTTTAGCTGAGATTTAAAAAGTTCAATAGACTCAGCAGTCCGGATATGTACTGGGAGGCTGTTCCACAGTCTAGGAGCTGCAACACTGAAAGCCCTGTCACCTCGGGTTTTTTATAGGTGTTGCTATCTGCTTTGTGTAGCGTGGTTCAAGCAAGTCAGTGCATTCATTGGGTGGTATCAGAGAGATACAAGGGTCTGTAAATGCAATGAAAACTGGCCACAGCAAATAATTGATATTAAACATGTAATTTTTACTTTTGAATACTTCAGTACAAAGGATGTATTGAATAATTTAAGTGATATGTGTACACATATAAATCATGAGTCAAAACAGGGCTACATTTGATTGAATTATAAAAGGTATAATATGTAGTAAACTGAAGAGCCGTTTGGGAGCCGAAAGAGCCGGCTCTTCTTGGTGAGCCGAGCCAAATGATCCGGCTCACCAAGAAGAGCCGGAATTCCCATCACTAGTACATATGCTGGGACTGTAAGTGGCGCTGTAACTTCCGCCAAAATACACCAAAAGCCGCGAAGAAGAGCAACCGAGCAGCCCCGCTGCAATGTTGCCATGGCTACCCTTCTGTTTAAGCCCCGAAACTGAAACTGAAACTGAAAGAAACTGAAAGAAACCGAATCTGTGGATATTGCATCCCGACCAAGAAGGTCTCCGTGGAGAGGACGGCTCAGAAAGAGAGAGATATTCTCTACAAACACCGGGTGAGATCCTCCTTTGTCAATATAATGGATCAATGCATGAAATCTGACTCTGTTTATTTTGTTTAAGGAGTATATTGGGCGTTAACAATTCTGGTTTGCCTTTTATAATATTATTTAATTCAAGAACCCCTTGTGCGTTTAATTAACACAGCTATTTTTGATAGTTGCTGCAGGAGAGGTGGGGAGAGGCGGGGCTATCGTTATTTTTTCAGGAAATATTCGTATCGAGGTGATTACACGGACTCGGTTGACCCCCCAGAGCGTTTCGTTTGCAAATCTATCCACCTTGGGACCCGTTATTGTTTGTGGGGTCAGTTTCTATCGGCCTCGTGTAAATAATAGGGCTATACGCACGCGAAACTATGCAGATACAAGCAGTTTTCTCCTCGTGTAAACGGCGCCTAAGTCTTAGTTTGGCCAATCATTTTTAATCACACACGTCTCCCCATCCCATTCAAATTCAAATTATTGACTGGAAGGGCAGTGTTGCCTACATGTAAATGAATGGCATTGCCTATATGCATTTGAAAAGAAATAGTACCCCCCTCTGAGTGACTATCGGTTGACTTCACATCTTGTCACAAACCAAGGGACTTTACTTCCTGATTTTTGGAATACAAAATAATTTATCTGTGGACGTTTTACTGAACGAGCATACTGTACTGTGATCTGCATGCACTTATCAAACATTTAATTAAAGTAGTGAAAACAAATAGTGAGGGGGTCCAAAATCAGCCAACGTGCTTTGTTTTTAATGTTCATCGCTATAATAATAAGTACATTATTCAAAAGTTTACATTAACTTTGGATAATAACACTAAGAGTACTGATATGTCTACCATTTATTTTATGAGTGTAATATCTGCATTTTCTC